GTCTTGCCCGCCTGCGTACTATAGCATCGCAAGACCGCTCAAAGCTCCGCTACGACAGCAAACACCGCCACGTCACATATGAACCGGGAGACCTTGTAATGGTGTGGAAGCCTATCCGCAAGCGTGGCTTGTCCACAAAACTTCTCGCCCACTACACTGGCCCATTCGTTGTCCTTGAGCGCCTCAGTGCAGTAGATTATAAAATAGCACGACTGACAGCTAGTGGGAGACGATCAACCAAGACCGAGGTTACCCATGTGGCTCGCCTCAAAGCTTTTAGACTGCGGGACGATGCATGAAACGCGCGGTGCGCTTCGTCTGCGAAGGGGGAAATATTACGACGTGTATGTGCCGGATTGATAAGAGGGAATAGAAGTGTGGACTTGGGAAGAAGAAGATCTCTCGCCAGTTTGATCCGGTGCGGCCTCGCCATCCCAGCTTCCGTTCAATAAACTCCCGTACCCCTACTTCAGGCGTAACAATATGTATACAATCTGCAAGATATCAACAGCGAATATAGCTGGGAAAGTATTTTAAATTAATTTTCAAATTTGCATGAGCGACTGAATTCATAGCACTATAGACACACTCGAAGGTGACCTCGAGGTGACCGCCTAGTTCCCTCACGTCACCACGCTCCGGTCAATAAAACAAGTTACGATGACGTCATAGGCGCCATTTTTCTGTTGCAGCGTCAGTTCTCGCAGTCTATATTTCCAGGCAGCTGGTTGCAAGTGCGTGGCCGTGGTGCACGCTTAGACAGTTGTGTTTGGAGACATTACAGTCCCGTTTCCTATTCGAAGGTAATTCTTGATGCAAACCGCACGGAAGTGCATCACAGGCCGTGGCGCACGCTTAGACAGTTGTGTTTGGAGACATTACAGTCCCGTTTCCTATTCGAAGGTAATTCTTGATGCAAACCGCACGGAAGTGCATCACAGTTCTGTGTGCAGACGTGGTCAAAATCTACACACACTAGGTGGCGACAGTTGCACCCAGTTTTCAAACTCTCTCAAACCGAAACAGAAACACATTGATAATGAGGGGCCTGTAAATAATAATCTGTCCCCTGCTGCAGCAAACGATGTGCCATGTCATGACTAACAGGCCCCAGCAATGCATTGCATAAAAAAAAAACGCGAGGCTAAACTTTTTGTGTCAGTACCCCTTTAACAAGAACTCGAATATAAGGTCATTCCTCTGCGGTGTAAACAGTGCTGTTAATTTTGTCCCATCTAAATACAGGCTGGCTAATTCTCTTTTAGTTGTTCATTAAGATGTGTAAATTGTCATGAGCTACAAACATAGTTCAGGACCTTCTTCATATTGTATAAAAATGCAATTTTGCAAGGGGGAAACAATGTTGTGTTGCGCAACCCCTGGTGTTATGTTCACACACCAGTAGAGTTTCCTGTATATGCCCCTAGGCGAAGCTGAGCCTTCACTAGGACCATTCTTGGCAAACCAACCCTGTGTGTACGTGCCATTCGTGTGACCAGTGTATCACTGGCCAATCACCTTGTTTCCATTTCTTGAAATAACCACCAAAATGAGCGCGGGAGAGCATTTTCTTTTCAGCCACGCCAAATTTCGTCTGCGTGTCACAACTCTCCAAACGCTAGGCCTCTCCCTCGGCCTGATAGAGGCTTCGCCGAGTGATGCCACCCGTGCAAAATGCTGCTTCACATACGATCAGCGTTCCTTTTGAAGAGGTGGTCCAAGTTTTTTCTTCTTATATTTCTAGGGTCATAGAAATGCCATGCACTGCTCAAAATATTTTCCAATAAGCCAGTAACCTTTTTTTTTTACATCAACGATCATACTAGAGCTCTTAATTATGCAGCGTATACACAATCACCGATTGAAAAAGTGTGTTGTGTCCTGTGACTAGCGCTAACAGCCCTTTTCAAATGTAACTATACTTTTCTGCAAGGCACCAGTATACTGCAGCAAAAGTGGCTTAACGGGAGATGAGAGTCAAAAAACATAACTTTTTTAAAAAAACATATTGCTCATTTTTATTTGCTTTGACAAGTATAGTTACCCTACTTACATGACAAAAAAAACTGATGATTGCAACTACACTTGAAATAGGTTAAAATCGTTTTAAAGAGCACAAGATGGCTACTAAAAACTAAAAGAATCTCATTCTCTAAAGTCCCCTTGAAATTGTCACCTGGCTACTTGTTATTGCATTTCCCAAGAAGCGTTCGCTAAAACGACATGCTTAAAATAACCATGATTGCCAAGCTATCATGATGGAGAAAATCACCTCAAAAAATACACCTTTTCCGCATAGGTGACCCATCACTTATACCTTTAAAATTCGCTTTTTTTTTTCAATATCAATTTTTGAGCAACTTCTTGAACTTAGAAATCAGGTTTTGGATAAGTACTGATAGCCTAATCAGGATGAAATTCTGCCCACATATTCCTCAACTTGTGATGGGTGCAAGTATTTTCATAAAAACTTGATATCACCTGTATAATCATTGCAAACCTAAAATATAGTTAGTATTGGCTAAAATTCTAAGCATTTTCACTTGACTATTTTTCTTGTCCATTGAAAGGGCTTATAAACACTTTCTCAGTGGCATAAAAAGTGTCTAAAAGCAACTATACGTTACACATTGTCACATTACACATTTGAAATTAGCTTAAACACCTACATGTATAGCAAAAAATTTCCTTGTCCTGGGCTACAGATTAACACCACAATGTTTTTTTTTTTTTCCCCAAATCGCATCTCCCCTTTAGCAGCGTTCTGCTGGGCCAAGAAATTTCGAATCCCTAATCTCCCCCTCCCTTCCCCTGTTCCTTTAATTTCACGATGGGGCTGGGTATAAGGCTCAACTCCTTAGCCATCACTTCCTTCATTTCTTTCAATGCCAGTGCAAACGCTTGCTTCTCAATGGGAGCCGGCAGTCCACCTTAATTTAGAGAGTAGTTGTGATGAGACGCTACATGATGGGTAGTGCTGCTTGCGTCACACATGTTTCCGAGCGTTCTCCCCTGTAGATGCGTAGACGTTTTACCCACTCCAATGTCATATGTCTGTAAGATTTGTTGATTCAGGGTGCTTTTTTGTGGCTCGAAGCAATGCTGCCATTGCGTCACAGAGCAGCGCATGCGGAAGCATTGCAGTGATACTTTCGCATTTGTTGCCCGCATAGTGCCACGAATGGCAACACGCTATCTTAAAACATCAGATCATTTACAGAGCCAGCGAAACCGCCAATATTGTGAGCATGCATCATATAAGCAGGGCACCATGTATGCTTTTTCTTATTAACCCATTTTAACATAGGTACATAGGAGTCTATTGTATCCAGTTTTCTGCGACGTCAGTGGCTCTTATGATTTACAGTATGAATGCGCACGAGTTTGTAAGGTTGCGAGTACACATCACTATGAATGTGAGTAGTTTAGAGTGCGAATATATGAGAGTACAAGTGAAGGTAAGTGCAAAGCCAGAAGAAATTTGGGCGAGTCCGTATGAGTGAGTAATCTCTCTTTAGTGCCGACCTATAGTAACACATCAACGTGGTGCCAGCTTCTGCTAATTTGTACGGACAAGATAAATTAATATATGAACGAAATCCCAGCAGTGGAGGCTACATTAATACCATGCTTTATATCTGCCAACCGCAAAATGAAACAACAGGTTACTGCAGCACTGGTAACAGTACAATCACTTTAGAAAAAATACAAATTACATTTTTGAACAGAATCTGTTTACAACAATTTTAACACTGCAAACGATGCCGCTCTACACCACTTGCACATCACAAGCACACATGTGCGATGAACACACAAGTGTATACATGAAGCTTACTTTCATAGCACCAGTGCAAAAAGTGCACACTCAGCAGGAATTGTCCCACACAAGAAAAACTGTGCATACCCATTGATGCAGGCAAGACAATGCACTCTGGCAAGAAAAACGCAGCTACAACTCACAGAGCTGAGAAGGCGAAAGAGCTAATGCAACAGCTAGTGCAATAGCTAAAAATGTGCAATCTCTAGTGCCTTCATTTTGTGGTTCTACTTAGCCACTAGAAGCAACAGAAGTTTTATATTTTATAGAAGCTACGACAGCTGTTGCGCACGGCAAGGCTTTGGATGAGACTGGCTTTTGAATGCTAGGCCCACTCCTTCCGAAGCTTTTCTCTTCTTCACAGCTGCGCACGACAGACTGCCAGCACAGTACGGCAAGCAGATTAATATTTCTATAACAGCGATCCCAATTTATTAAGCCACTTTTTAAAATGCATCACGTACGTCTGCAGACACCTACTGCAGCACGTGTTTCAACACTGTCCCTAATTAAGGCTATGACCTCTGACACAAGCCTTGCCTTTTTGGAGGCAACATTTTGGTGCATGTAGGATAAAATCGTGCTTTCTTTTTAACATGATGGCGGAGAAAATTTTGTTTCGCACAATATGACGCATTTGGTGCAGGAGCGAGACCACTTTTTGCTACATTTAATTAGTCTATGTGGTCTCGTAGCCTCAAGAAAGCAGTTTCAACTTTCAGCAGCATTGTTTACTTATCGCTTATTGTTCACTTGAAATAGCATGTATAACAAACATAGAAGTAATTGTGACTCGCCGAAAAAATTGTCACTGTCCCACACCAGAGTGCACAGTCTGCTTTTAATAAACTGTGAAAGAGAAAAGATAGCATTTTATATTTTATTTTTGAGGGTGTAGAGTTGATGATGCAACGTGTTGAAAAATTTTTTTTAATATTCTTATGTTTCACGATGGCTATTCAATTTAAGACTTAGCTAGCACACTATTATGATGTTGCACGTCAATAACTACACAATATTGGAACTTCTGTGAGAGCAATTAGACTCTACATTACTGATTACACAACGCACCAGACTTGCACTGGGACCAGCTACGCTTAAGCTTCCCACTTTAATAAAGCGAAGGCTGGCTTTTTTGCTGTCCACATTCACAAGTGACATGGAAAGAAAATGGAGGACTTACTGGTTCTGTATGAGCTGGATTGTCAAGGCACTCTTTCCCACACCACCCGCTGCAACGAAATCGCAAGAATTAGTGCAATGAATATGCAACCAACATATTGATTTATTTGCATAATGTTAAACAGTATTTTGCAAGCTGCAAAAGAGAAAGACGCAGCACAGTCGCAGCAAAAGCTGGAAGAGTGGCTATTCCAGAGCTTTTTAAACACTCTTGACGGAACTACTACAAACTTACAAAGCACCCACTACACCATAAATCATCGTTTTTTTGTAATGCAGAAGCATTCACTATACCATCATTCATCATTCTTTGGAAAAGTATGGCACCTTCTACACACTTGTAAGTGTGTAGAGTAAGTGTGTAGAGGGTAAGTGTGTAATCGATGCTGTAACTTGCGATGATAAAGAATTATGCCTGCAGCTTTTGTGATGGCTTGGGCCTTCAACGACCCACTCCTTACGCCATTCACATTGTGTGACGCCAGGCTGCACCTTAATTCCCCGTCACCTTTACCAACTTCTCGCAGATTCTTGGGATGTATGGGACAGCGATGCTGCAAGGTTGTTTGGGGGAGGTTTCGGAGTTTCGCACGAGATTTCACCGAAGTAGGACAAGTCTTTCTGCGCTCCCAATCTTACCCCTTTCCTCGCTCCGCGCTTTTCGCGCACAGCCTTTAAGGCCTACAAATGGTGCCTCTTAGAGACAACCGGAAAGAACCGCCGCAGCAGGATGCTCTCACGGCTTCCCTGGTATCAACATCGGTGCCAACCCAGCAGCAAGAGGCACAATCCAAGCCTGCACGCTCCAAAAAAAAAAAAAACGCAGCCTCAAGAGGACAGCAGCCATCACACTGCCACCCTCTCCCCGGCTTTGAGCGAAGCGAAAGTGAAAACCTGCGCTTCCTCGTCTCGTGCCAGGGCCGTGGCTTCCTGCACAGGTTATTCTCCCAGCAGCAATCCCTCCTCTCGCCTCTCTAACATCACGGTTGCCAAGCAATCGGCGCCCGCCCCCAGCGCGTTGTCCGTGCTTTCAAGCACATCACCACGCCCAGATTGTCCCCACTTCATTGGCGACCATGACCGTTTGGTCACCATCAGTTTTCGGCCAATCGGGAAGAAGGCCAACTTCCTGGCTGCGTCGAGGGATGCGATTGCCGCCTTCCTCTCGGGGTTCCCAGAGTGAATTTCCGGCGCAACGTTGTTGCGGTCGACACCCTCCCTACTGCCGATCTGACCGCCCTACTTCAGGTCGGGACAATTTGCGACACCAAGGTTCGGGCCAAACAACTTGACCTAAACACCTGCGTCGAAGCGGATTTTGGAGTGGACCCAACGATCCCCTTCGAGGACCTCGCCGACAACATTGCGTCACCTGTGCCACTTGTGTCCGATGTCCGCAGAGGCAACTGCCTCACCCTCACCTTCGCGGGGAACACCGTCTCCTCGGATATATTGCTCTACAAGCAAAGGCGCCCTGTTCGACCCCGCCAGCCCCGGCCCCTGCAGTGCTCCTGTTGCGGCCGCTTCGGGCACGCAACAGCCACCAGCTCGCGAGACGAACGGTGCCTGTGTTGCGGCTTCAAGCACGCCCCAGGATCATGTGCAGCACACCCTCACTGCATAAACTGTGGTGGGAAGCATCCCGCAACCAAGCCGCGCTGCCCCTCTTGGGAACTCCAGCGCAGAACCGCGGTCATCATGGCCTCAACTGATGGCACCGTCACTCACCGCCAAGCCCTGGAACACGCTAGGACCCCCTTGCAGCTGCGCTACTATTATCCAGGGACGCTCCTTCCGAGATGCGCTCACCGGTACCGGCGGCACAGCTTCGGAGACCACCCCTGTTCCCACAACGAGTGCGCCTGTCGTCCCCACTTCAACGACAACGGCCTCGCCCTCATCGACATCGCAGTCAGCCTCTGCGGCCGTCACCACGTGTTCAATGGCGATGCAGACACCGCACCCCTTTGCGCAACCGCTGGTTCCTGCCACCGCTCCCAAGAATGCCACTACGGCATCGCCCGCTGCATCCAAGCCGCCGGCCTCTCCCAGCCCCTTCTCGGCCACCACAATGAACTTGCTGTTGCAATCAATACTTTCTGTGCTTCCGCTCCTCACAATGGACTGTGAGCAACGGAAATTTGCTGCTGCTGCTGCCGCAGATTACGCCTCCAATGAGCTCCGAGCAGCAAGGATAACCAGACTTCCCACGTGACTTTGGCCTCCCAGCTCTTCTTCTGCCCATGTTAAACTGTGAGCATCACTGTGCCCCCGGCTTTCTCGGCAGTCTTCTCGTTCGGCTGCATATTTCGCGAGTGTTTTCTTACGGCGATACGTGGGGCAGATCGAATGCGATTTTTTTTCTCCTTCCCTTATTTTTTTTTTTTCTTGTACTTCTTACCTTTCTGTTTTTTCCCACTACCCCATACTCCGTGCCAACCTGTTGAGGTGTCGTCGTAATGATAGACAGTTACGGGCCGCACTTTTCTCTTCATTTTCATTTACATAATCACATAGTAATAGTAGGTTTCATTGTTGACGATGATGTATGGTGTTTTATGGTGTAAGGGCCATTTGATGGCAAAAAAGCACCAGATCATGAGAAAAGTGATGTGCACAATGACTATGATAGGCGACTTTATAATGGTTTTAAAATTTCTCGCGCTAAGGCCGGTAAAAACATAGAAGTATCAAAATCATGACAGTGACTTGAAATGTGTGCAGTGAGAGTAGTGATGACGATATCTGGGGTTTAATGTCCCAAAACCACCATATGGTTAAGATAGATGCTGTGTAGTGGAGGTCTCCGGAAATTTCGGCCACCTGGAGTTGTTTAACGCGCACCCAAATCTGAACCCACGGGTTTACAGCATTTTCACCTCTATCGAAAATGCAGCTGCCGCAGCCAGGATTTGATTCCGCGACGTAAGAGTCAGCAGCTGAGTACCTTAGCCACAAGACCACCGCGGCAGGGCTGTGCAGTGGAAGTTAATTGTGAAAAAGTCGTGATAGTCAAAAAATGATAGGGATGAAGCCACCGCAGCAGCGACCTCTCTTCAGAGGTCGTTCTACAGAGCGCCTTGGTATACGACATTAAAAGTAGTATGCACGTCTGTTAAATATGCCAGCAATGATTGCAATGATTGATGTGTAAAATTGGTTCTTTATCGATGAACATAGATGAATGAAAGGGTATCTGTTGATGATAGGGCAATAAAAGGTGCATGTTTCTGAGGGCATTAACTCACTGCACTGGACAAGGATGTGGAAAATCATAAATGTGGCTCTCTAGATCTCTCAAACAATGAAGGATCGCCACCAGACAGATGGTATGAATGTATTGTGTGTGTATGATGATGTTTGAAGTTTTGTGGCGCAAGGGCCGTTTCACGGCCAAATAGCGCCAGTACATGTTACTAAGAATATGGACAATGATTGTGATAAGCAGCTGTATAAAGGCCATAAAATTCCTCGCGGTAAGGCGGGTAAAAACATACAAATAATAAAATCATGACCATGCCGTGAAAGGTGTGTGTGGTGAGGATAGATGACAAGAGTTGGTGATTATAAAAAACGATGGTGGATATGAATGGCATTAGCACAAGTGCCTCACTCGTTCATGCCCTTGCGTCCAAGGGCCGTGAGGCAAGTGCTTTCTTGTGTAACCGCCACAGCAAAAACCTCTCTAGAGAGGTCGTGCTACGGAATGCCCGGGTGTATGATATGAAAATTATTAATTTCTTTTAAAAACGCTAACAATGATTTATGACTAAAAAGCGGTTCCCTACCGACGAACATTGCAGGGTGTAAAGGTATATGCTGTCGGTAGGGTAATGGAAAATGTCGTTTTCTTAGAGTTTCTAAGTGTTTGCACTGGATTAATATGTGAAGGACTGTCAATGCCTCTCCACATCTGTCACACAATGGTGGATCACCACCGGACAAAAGATGCGTGTGTGTCGTGTATATGTGTCCTATCCTGAGTCTTGTTAGTGTTACCTCTGTTAGACGTGATTTTGATACTGGTGGCCAATGGCCAAGGTGTGGCTTGATAACGTGTAGTTTGTTTTGTGTGTGTGTATCCCACTTGCTCTGCCAGTAGTCCCTGAGATTTCGTTTGAGAGACGGCTTAAGATCAAGGGCCGGGATTGATGTCGGTGTAATGGCGGTGCTTTCGTGGGCGGATGCAGCAAGCTGATCCGCCATCACGTTGCCTTGAATCTCACGGTGCCCTGGCACCCAGCACACAACAACATGTCTGTTGAGTGTGTGGAGGGTGCATAAAATGGAGTAAAGTGAAACTAGGACAGGGTTCTTTTGTTTTTTAAGACTGTGCAGAGCCGTTACCACACTGAGGGAGTCTGTATAAATTACTGCTTTTTGTATTTGTGATTGTTTGATGTGTTTAGCTGCCACAAGTATCGCGTAAGCTTCCGCTGTGAAGATACTTGTGCCTGGATGTAGAGGGCCAGCATCCGAAAAGGAAGGGCCAACAGCAGCGTAGGACACAGAGGAGTTAGACTTAGAGGCATCTGTAAAAAACTCAGGACGTGTGTATTTGTGTTGAAGTTCCAAGAAGTATGTTCGAATATGGGCAATAGGCGCATGTTTAGTAACTTCTAAAAAAGACATCGCAATCTATAGTCTGCCACTGCCACGGTGGCGGGTATGCTACAGGAGCCATTAAACTGTGTTCGAGTGACACTCCAGTGTCCTCAGCTAGACCCTTCAGGCGAACTGAGAAGGGCTGCCTCATTGAAGGCCTGTTTTGAAAAAGAATGGAGCTCGACAAGTCATTAATAGTAGAGTATGAGGGGTGCCTCTTATCTGCTTTCACCTTAAGGAAATATACAAAGGACATGTAAGTTCTCTGCAGATGAAGCGACCACTCATTCGACTCAACATAAAGGCTTTCTACGGGGCTGGTGCGAAAAGCACCCGTAGAAAGGCGGATGCCCGAATGGTGCACGGGATCCAGCATCTTCAAAGCACTTTGAGTCGCTGACTGATAAATAATGGCCCCATAATCTAAGCGGGTGCGAATAAGGCT